CTAGTCGGGATGGTATTTATGGCTGCTCCATTATCAATAAGCACATGTGCCACAGGTATACCATTGACTAAGGCCTTCACATACAATGGCCTTAAATATTTAGTCAATTTCATGGTTGGTCTCTTAAAGATGACATTTTCAGCTGCATCTATTTCCACTTTTTGTTTGTCTTCTGTTGAATTATCTCTTTGTAATAAGTCAACATGCAATATTTCGCACTGAATTCCTTCTTCTTGGATTTCCTCTTTACATTCCTTTCGTACTTCTTCTTCAGTTACCCAACCTGTGGGGGGAGGTAATATTCTTGGAGGTGACTCATATTTCTCAGAGCGAGATACTTTCCTCTTTCTCTTGAGTGTCCCCGTACAACACATAGTAGTCGAAAGAACGCCCAAATGGTTCTCCCAACAAATCCACTTCACGCACACCTTCTCAGTGTAGTTGCTTCAACAAAGTATTGTGCGATACTCCCCTCTTTCTTCTCTCTGCTTCCAAATTAATTTCTTCTTCGATGTCCATCATACCATCGTCCTCTTCTTTATCATATACCCCCCGAGATGTTTGAGCTTTTTTACATTCCAGCGCACATGCTTTATTTTCGTTATCTTCCATTTCCCCATCTTCATTCTCTTTGTTTTTGAATTCATTGGCTAGTAAATAATTATTAGCCATAACAGGAGGTAACGTACCAAATTGGATGGTGAGGGATTGCTCTGGATCTTCCTCATCTTTCTTTCCTCGTTTAAACTTTGATCTCCTGAAAGAACTTTCTGGTAACTCCCCCATTGATTCACCCATACCGGCCTCTTTACTATCTTCAAGAACATTTTGGTTGGCCACCTCAAGCAATTTAGGTGCTTTAGGACGTGGCAACCTATGTTGTTGCCTAATCATTCGTCCACAGTTTCGTTGAAAATGCCTTTTTTGGGTTCTGGTCATCTCACTGAAAGGTATAACCCTTCATGCGTTATACTGGAATGAATGCCATATATTTGGTTGGCGAGGTTGAGGTCTGAATGTCCTTCAATTGTTTATCAGCCTGAACTGCCTCTCAAGAGGTGGTCCTCTATAGAATAATGTACATTGTCCTCCACCGACTGGATATTTGGGACAATATTAGGGCGATGGTGATGTCGCCACATTCCTGGTCTTTCTATGTTTGCATTCACTTCTTCTTTGCATCTCGCACACAAGATGCTTCCTTCATCTCTAGGCTCTTTCCCTTTGATACGTTCAAAAACACTGAGATGTGGTCCAGAATCTTATTCTCCGTCGTCTACAACCAATTTGAATCTTGCCAACTTTTTTTTGAAACCAGTCGTCACCATGTTCACCCCAAGTGGCTGTGGGAAAGGATTTTCATCCACTGTCATTTTCTTCTTAGCATCGAACGTGATTCGTCCTGATTCGATGGCATCCTGTAACACATGACAAAAGACCAATCAATTATTAGTCATATGTGACCATGCATTGAGCCATTTACAATATTTTTTACCCTTAATTTCTTCAGGGTCTGGTAATTTATGCTTGTTACTCAACTTTATCTGCTTATCCTTATACAGTTTGTCGAATATAAGGTCAGCTTTGGTCATATCAAATGAGAATACCCTAGCCTTCTTATTCTCTTCTTTTAGAGTCTCATTCTTGCCCGATGTCCTGGATTTGGCCATTATGGGATAAGCATACGCTTCTCCCTTAATCAATTCAGCTAAACATACTTCCATTTGATCATAATACTCGTCACT